TTTATATACAGTATTATATATACAATATTATAAATACAGTATTATAAATACAGTATTATATATACAGTATTATATATACAATATTATAAATACAGTATTATAGATACAGTATTATAAATACAGTATTATAGATACAGTATTATAAATACAGTATTATATATACAATATTATAAATACAGTATTATAAATACAGTATTATAAATATAGTATTATAAATACAGTATTATAAATATAGTATTATATATACAGTATTATAAATATAGTATTATATATACAATAGGTTCTTCATGTTAGTTCAAACTGGTTCAGATATTTAGGGTTTGGATCGTTTTAGATTGTTTTCATGGGGCCAGATGGTTGAAGTAAGTTAATAAATTAAGTTTTTTCTTGTTTCCTGAAACTTTGACATAAAACACAAATTCTGAAAGAGTTGAGATGATTAAAATAAAAATAAAATTACAACAGAACCTTATTAACCCAAAATTTCATCACAATGAAAATGTAAACAAATCAAGTGTGAAATCTATAAAACCAGTTGTTGGAGGTTTAGGAGGACCTGAGGAGACCAGGTGGCTTTTGAACTGTGAGCTGGACACAGCCTGGATGGTTCCTCTCGTCTTTAGTCTGGAGGATGTGGTGTCAGTGGTTTCCAACCAGAACCTCAGATTTTGACCCACCTGATGTCGGAACAGTTCTGGACTTCTCATCACTCCAGTTTAAATGAGCTCTGGTCCAGAGAAGATGGCAGAGGTTCTGGATGCTTTTCACATCTGGCTTCTCTTTGTCTGATAGAGCTTTAAACAGCATCTGTGGATGAACTGTGTTTATAGACGATGATCTGTGGAAGAGTTCCTGAGCCCAGAACCGGAACCAGACCTGGTTTTCATGCAGTGGCCCCTGGAGGCCTCGCCCTTTGAGCTTAGATTTCTAGTCTTTTTTTTGGAACAATAAAACACAGCAACAATTTTAAATTTTAACTTCATTTTATAAAATATAGCTTTTCTGCTTTAAATTTTGTTTTATTTTTCTGAATAGAAGCGTTAAGTCTGAAATAAACATCAGTTTTTGCATCACAGCCGGTACAGCTTCCATTCATTTGTTAAATTACAGTTTTCTTTTGTTTTCATCACAAAAATCATTCCCGAAGTTCCACAATATTTAAAGTAAGTGCTTCAGTGTAGACATTAACGGGTGTTTGTTTGTTGAGCTCTTATAGTTTCATGTTTCAAACCTGCAGTTGTTGCAGTTGTTGCCCCTCCTATTCTCTTTATACCTGCTGCCACTTGGTGCTATTTTCCAGAAACACAACATGCCCTTCCACTTCTACGCCGATGACTGTCAAATTTACTTCCCCCTAAGACACAATGGTACGTGCTCTATTCAACCGCTGCTCAACTGCCTGGCTGACATCAGGGACTGGATGGCTTTAAACTTCTTAAGTTTCAATGAAAAGAAGTCTGAAGTCATGTTGTTCCCTCCCAAGGACACCATCACAAACCACTGCATCGACCTCTCCGCTCTAACCCTGTCAGAAAAACAAAGAGTCACTAATCTGGGCGTGATAATGGACCCTTCCCTGAAACTTAACAATCATGTAAACATGATTAAATCCTGCTTCTTCCAACTGAGGCGGCTGTCTAAACTGAAGCCCATATTGTCCAAAAAGAACCTGGAGACAGTAATACATGCATTCATTACATCTAGGCTTGATTACTGCAATTCACTCCTGTTTGGTATCAGTCAGACCTCCATTGCACGACTACAACTGGTCCAGAATGCAGCAGCCCCATTTTTAACCAGTACAGGCAAAAGAGAGCACATCACACCAGTTTTGGCCTCACTGCACTGGTTACCGGTTCACTTTCGAATCCAGTTCAAAATACTCATGTATGTCTACAAATCACTGAACAGTGTCGCGCCCCCCCCCCCCCCATCTCTCTGATCTGCTACAACCGTATGTCCCACCACGTTCCTCGTCCCGTTTAAAAACTCACAACTATTCAGCAGCTTTCAACACCAGATGATCTGTGTTTTGATCCTGTATGCTCCACACTGGTTTGTCGTCATTATCTGCATCGTTTTTACGTCTATATTCTGATTTACCTCATTTTGTATTTTGCTTTGTGTGTTACCTGTTGTTCTGTCTGTACAGCACTTTGGTTGGCCTTGTAGCTGTTTTAAGTGCTCTATAAATAAAATGGTATGGTAAAGTTTGAACTGAAAGGATCAAACTTGACGAGGAAAAGCAGATTTTATGAAAATGTAACTTGTTGAGTCTCAACAAACAAGTGAAGCTGCAGCAGTTTGTCGACTTCCTGCCTGAACGTAATCAGTAGAGGAGTGAGGCCGAGGGGAGGAACCGGCCCAGACCCGGCTCTGATGATGGACATTTCCCCTAACGTTCTTGGACACTCTGAAACCTGCACTGACTTCTGTGTGACAAGAAAAACAAAAGTGCATCAGCCTGCTTCTCAGAACCTCTGGAGTGTTCAAACCTGCAGACACGTTCAGTTTGCCTTAAATTTCAGTAATTTGCTGCAAGCGTTTGATTCAATGCATTTGGATTTTGAACTGAATTTAAAGTTTTGAATACACACAAAGGATGTTAACTCTGATCTTAGAGAAATCTCTATTTTATAAATGTCTAATTGTTCTTATAGATTTAAAATATGTTTATGACACAAAAAGATAAGATCTTAAGTGAGTTTAGACAAGTAGTGTTTGAATGAGTTCATTGACTGAATAATATTTAATTTCAAATTAATTTTATTTATTTTTATTTTTAAAAATTTAATAAAATGTTACCCTGTAAATGTTTCCTAATTTGCAAACTTTCATTTTTGTTTGATTTATTTTTACATTTGTTTTTTTACTTTGTTAATTCAATTCAATTTTAGGTCCTTTTTTTAGTTGCAGCACTTTAGTGCAGTTTAAAAAAACATTTATGGGTAGAACTGGCTTAAATTAGTTGACAAAATATAATGATTAAATCCTAATTTTTACCGGTTTAGAAAATAAATAAAAAAACAAAGAATAATGTTTGAGTTTTTCTTCAGTCCAACGGCCCGTCGTGAAGGAGAAACAGCGCCCCCCCGGGCTCCATTGGGTTGTAATACAAATCATCGTGTGGACAGAAAAGGTACTGCAGCATCACGTGACAGAAGAACCCCCAGGTGTAGCTAATTAAACACATAATCGTTGGTTTCTTTGCGGTTACTTTAGAAGAAGAGTATGGAATTAATTTAGAGACATTTCTTTGAACAAAGCATGTTTAGCCGAGAAGAGTAATGGAGCTTGTGACCTAACTTAGCTTTGCTAACAGGTTAGCTAGCTGGGACGGAAGTCCGCCAAGAAAAACCGTTAGGTTGGACACCATGGACCGGACCGGACCGTTTCTGTCTTCAACAGAAAAAGACATTAATTTGAGGTAAGATGTGCTTTTACTTTCTCTTTCTGTCCCTTTTTTACTATGTCGGAGTTTTATTCCTTGTTGTCTCTTTTGTGGGCGAAAGTTTGTGTTTGTATTCATTTTTTATTTATTTATTTATTTACCGCCTAAATTTCTGAGGTTGTATTTAAAACTGGTTTAATCTAAACACTCCACCAATCTAAAGTCTGCTTTACAGATTATTCATTCAACCTATATTTATTTTATTTATTATTTAATTTATTTATTATTATCGGTTTTTGTTTGTTAATTAAAACCGCAGCTGTAACCATCCCACTGCGCATGCGCGGCTTTCTGCCTCTTAAGCTTTATAAGTTTTTAAGTTTCTCTGAATCATTGTTTGAGCTCGTGATGGTTCATGTTTGACAGGCATGCAAATAAACTATCAGCAAATAAAAAATGATCACCATGTTTGCAAATATTAATTCACTAACAAAAAACCACAAATACAAAGTAAATTCTTGAACAATGCAAAAGCAGATGAATAGAAATACAAAACTAAACGTACGCTTCCATAGCAACCTGAAGTAACAACAAAGAAATAAAAAACGGCTATATTTACTCTAGATGTCAGCTGAGCTGTTCAGGTTTAAATAAGTTATATTTATTTGTCATATGCAGGTTAACAGAAGGTCAACAAATGACATGTTCAGGATGAGAAGAACCGATTTGACTGTCTCAGCGTGACCTTTGACCTTCCTACTCCCATATGAGTTGGCTCATTAAGATTGTTTAATTAACCAATTATATTATCTTTAATGGCTTCAAATCAGACTTTGATGTTCTGGGAGTTTGAGATAAGTCTACATAAACGTGATGTTGACTTGGCCTTTAATTTGATTTAAAAAGTTTAAATGATAAAGGCATTAGGACTTTATTTAAATAAATAGTGCTCAGAGTTTTGTTTTTATCTTTGGAGGTATTTTTCCCAGGTCCGTTCAGTTTATACATTTAGGATTTATGTTTGTACTAAATTACAACAATAAAATTAAAATAGTATATTAACATGTTTTCGTTGTATTTAAATTGAGAAATGATGTGACTTTAAAACTTTCATAATGAGCTGGGAGTTTAGAAAAGTAGATTTAGTTGGTCAGTCAAACTTTAATCCTCCTGCTGCCCTTGGGTCAAAACCACACGAGGCCTCTGTGTTGAGACTGAGATTTGACCCAAGGGCAGCAGGAGGGTCAGGTTAGGAACATTGAGCTCTGGGTTTTATGTTTCTGTAAAAACTTTTAAATTTGTGAATTATGCATATTTAATGAGCAGTTTTCATGTGAATTAACATAAATATTCACCTACTGCTGTGTGTGTGTGTGTCCTTGTTTATGCTACTTTGTGAGGCCCATTTTTTCAACTTATACTACATTGTGAGGACCAACTGCTCCTTATGGGGCCCAAAGCCCGGGCCCCATAAGAAGAAGTCCCGTTGGTGGGTTAGGGGCTAGGTTTAGGACTAAGGTGTGAATTGAGGATGTGTTAGGTTTAGGGTTAGGTATGTACTGGTGATGGTTAGGTTATGGATAAAGGGCATGGTTAGGCTATAGAAATGAATGAAAAATGAATTGAAGTCAATGCAAAGGCCCCATAAAGATAGCAAAACAAACCTGTGTGTGTGTGTGTGTGTGTGTGTTAGAAAATACCTTATGAAATGATTCAGATTTTAATGAAACTCTTCAAGTAATTATTCAGTGTAACTCTACAACCTCATGAGCTTTCGGAGTTAACCTGATTCAAGATGGCTGCCACAGCTAACTGACTTTAGTAACAGAAACATATTTAACTATACGAGCTACAGTCTGAGGTGGTAGTAGCTGAGAGTCATCCTCGGCTCATACTTAAGAGCTAACACGTAGAACATGAGAGCGTCTTAAAGTTTGACCAAGACGCTCCAAACTCTCGACGTAAGCTGTTAAAACTGTGTTGTGGCGGGTGACAGGCATTCCCTCAGGTGATGCTGGTCCTGTTTAATGTTAGATGTTAAAACTGTGGTGTGGCGGGTGACAGGCATTCCCTCAGGTGATGCTGGTCCTGTTTAATGTTAGATGTTAAAACTGTGGTGTGGCGGGTGACAGGCATTCCCTCAGGTGGTGCTGGTTCTGTTTAATGTTAAAACTGGTGTGGCGGGTGACAGGCATTCCCTCAGGTGGCGGTAGTTACCCGATGACGTTCTCCAGGACGCACCAGTCTGCTGCGTCCAGTTGCTGCAGGTCGTCCTGAAACTTGGCTCCGCAGTAACTGTGGCTGAGCTCCAGCAGCTGGACCCGGTCACAGTGTCTGCGTGTGGACTGGACCTCCTGGTTCTGGAACCTCTCTGCAGGACGTTCACAACCATCATGCACTTTGAACTCGGGCTTTTCAGCACGCTGGATATTTTCTGACTCACCGTCGTCCTCGGTGAGAACCGCAGAACTCTGGTTCCTGCGCCGCTCGCCCTCCAGTTCTGCCGTTGGCCCGTTGGGTTCTGTTGGACCTGCGGGTCCAGCAGCTTTTATCAAATGATTCATGCCTGAAGAACTTCACTAGTTCTACACAGAAAGTTTTCGTTCGGATGAAAATAACTTTATTTTGCTTCAACAAATGATGCTCTCTGTGATTGTTTACTTCTAAATAAAGACAATAAACAACAATTATCTCAACCGCAGCTTAAAACACAAAACTTAATAAAATTTCTGTAACTTATTTTATTTCATCGCCTTTTTTCACTCGATGCTCGTTTGATTTAACTGTTGAACTTGATTTAAGATGGCTGCCACAGCCAGCTGAGCTAAAACAAACGCACATCCTCAGGTAAAAGTTGTGGCAGCAGCCGAGAGTTTCCAACGCCTTTAGCTGGCTTCAGCTGTTGTCTGTTAGCAAAATATCTCCTGAACCACTCACCTAATTTTACTGAAACTGCAAACGTCTCAAACACAAACGGAGTTTCGGCTGATTTGACCAAAACAGCTACGACTCAACAAAAGCTTTTATTTTGAAACTGAAACAAAAGGCGTCGGTTCTTTAACAGGAAGTAGATTTAAATTCAGTTTGTTCTGTAGAGATCAGCTGTTTGTTTCTGACTTAATGTGAGTTTATTTATTTTGGGAGGATTTTTCATATTGTAATCGTTACAAATATTTTCTGTTCAGCAGCTTAAATGTTTAAAATGTTTTTTTACATCAGAACAAAAATATTTAAACATTTATCAGCTCATACGTTTTTTCAACCTTTATTTAAACACGTTAGTCTCATTGAGTTGCTCTCAGCTCCAAACTTAAAAAAAGTTTTTAATTTTATGAGGAATAAAAGAGGCATACATCTGATTTATCTAATTATTGCTTGTTTACAAATAGTTTTACCAATAATTTTAAGGTTCAAATGTTCAATTTGACATTTGATGCACAAACAACTCAACCTGACAAATTATTTATTGAATAAATGAAACTAATAAAAGCCTTTAATCTTATATCTAATATTTATGGCTGTTTGAAAAAAAAAGTTAATTTTACTGAGATTCTGTAGATTAAAGATGAAGGAATTTAATATGAATCAAACATTTATAATTAAACATACGGGGTATATAATCATTTGTAATTAAACATTTATAATTCACCATATATAAATAATTAATCATATATAATTACATGTTTATAGTGACTTAATTAAACGCACATAATTGAACGTACTGTTAGTGGTGTAAACCTGAACGGTTCGGTTCCTCCAAACGTCCAGCGTCTCCTCCGTGGTGTTGGCTGATGGTGGCACCGTCACACCTGCAGAGAAGTGTTTAATAAACGTCCTACATGCTCCACATGTCGGACTTTTGTTGTTCTGCCGCTGAAAAGAACAAATCTGACCCTTCAGATTAAAACAAGAGTCCAACGTTGGGTCAGAACTCACCGAGGACGAGCGCAGGAAGGAGCAGGCAGAGCGTCATGGTGGAGCTGCAGGAACCTCCGAGGTTCTTCTGGGACTCGACGGGCCATCCTGAGCCTGAACACCGGAGGTTCTGATGGGTTCAGAAAGAAGCCCGGCCCTCCTTATCTCATCTCGGCTAACGAGGAGGAAGTTTTTAAAGCTCTCTGCTGGAAAAACACCTAAAACAAACAAACCAAGTCAGGAAGGGATGAGCAGAAACAGGAAGAGATTAGATTTATATTCTGTAATCCAAAGTAAAATCTCCTCATTGAATTAGTTTGTTGGATGAAAATTCTGCAGTTTGAGTGTTAAAACACGCAGATTATGAAGCTGGGCTGATCGTGGATTAAATTAGGCCAAAATAAAGTCCCTGTTGACTCAGAGGAGTTAAATTAGTAATTAATCGCAGCCTTTGATCTATTTTTATTTGCTCTAAACGTGTGGACGATCTCGAGCTGCTGCTCCGAACGAGTTAACGGAAGAATTCAGTCGACTGATCCGACACGGCCGTCATCAGCTGATCTTTCATTAAACATTCAAACCAAGCGGTCATCAGAGAC